AATGATGCAATCAAAATTTGATAATTTCTATTTAAAAAAAAACGATTTCATATTTACCAATGCTATGATGTCAATTATTCGAGTTGTGTACAGTGCTCTTCAGCCAAACAGTGGTCGACTCAAAATAAGAATAATATACTCTTGACGAACTCGTCAAAGTCTATCAAGCCGTATATACAGGAGTGAGAAAAAAGAATCCATTTGGGTTTTGCATTATTGGCATCTTACTTCATCATCATGAGGATCAGTTGTTGTTATATTCCACCAATTGACGTGACCAAAATTCGTTTGATTTATAACTTGAAGAGAACTTACAGGAAATTTATATGAATTTTCTGAAGGTACTATTGTAATAAGGCGTTCACATAGATTTGATAAACGTGTTGACCATAGTCTTAGTTTGTCTTCCATTGATATACTCCACAATGGTGTTGTCAATAAACTAAATTTAAAAGACAAAATTCATCAATAGCTAGAAATTGAAGAAAGAGATTTACTCGATTGTTTTGGTTTTTTTTGACGCAGCTTGAAGGATATCGAAAGCATTTGGAGGTTCTAAAGCAGTTTTAATTGAAGTTGAAAGTGCGATTGCCTTTAACAAAAATTAAAATAAAATTAAAACTAGTTTTTCTTTTTTAATTTTACTAATTGTTGTTGTTCATCATCTTCAGTTTTTGGTATTTCCATTTTAAGAACTCGATTTTTAATGTTGTTTCCTATTTGTTTCTTTACTGCAGTAATTGGTTTTGAATCATTAATATTTGTTATAGTTTTAGCAGCAAAATTAACAACATGTTTTAATTGAACACTATTTTGATTGGAACATTTTTTAAGATGTGATAAATAAGTATGTTTTGCATGAAATGACATTCCACAAATTTGACATCTGACATGGGATAACGTTGTTGTTGTTATTGTTGTTGGTTTTCGAATATTCGATGAAGATTTAGTATAAGATACTAAAGTTTTTTGATGTTTTGGTTCATTCTTAATGATAGTAGATAAATGGATATTTAAATTTATATCGCATCGAAATGGATACACAAGAGGAGTAAAAGTGGATCCTGATGGATTGTACATAAACTCAAAGGAATTTATTAGAATGCATTAGGATTCAATAGGGGTAAATAGATGTCGTAGAAACTTGTTAGGGTATGAGAGTCTAGAATTACATTTTTCGCCTTTGCAATACGTGTGCATCTGGAGCTGAAATTAAACAGATAGAAAGAATATGAGACAGAAGAATCATTTCATGCATTCCTAATAAGAGAAACTTCACAGATGTATTTCAGCATTGAAGCCAAGACTAAGTGCATTATGTAAATTTTCATGAACTCCTAATACCCGAAACAGAGTTCGTGCTCCTAACTTATTCTTATGAAAATATTTCATGTTTAAGGTCTTCCTCTGGATTACTTGGAAAATAGACTTTCAAATTGAAGTTTTGCATGAAAATTTAGTATTTATTAAGGTCTGATTGAAGTGAAAAATAATACTTTTTCTTAAAGCCATTTTAAGAATAGAATGAACTTAAAAATTTCGATTTTTCGTAATAGACTTGTCTCATTGAGACTTATCACGATACAAAGCTTCAAAGAGTAAATTGGAATGTTAATTTTCTAAGTGATCCAGAGAAAGATCACAACATTGTGCGGAAAAACACCAATCAATGACTTTTGAACTGCTATGTCTACCACGCGGTTCAGAAACTCAAGGTTGGAATACCTGTACAACAAATGGGACACATGGCGTACGGTCCTTGAGCAATCATTAGTTCTAATCAATTTTTTCAGACAGATAGTTGCTTCTGCAGAACGATAGTTGATGAAATTTGAGCAGAGATTTCGCCAGAAAATAAAACTAAATGATATTAGAATACTCTTAAAGTTTCAGCGAAATCGAATCTATGTTTCTCAAGACAATAACTTTAGAAACAAATTTACAATATTGTATCTTTCCTATAAAACAAGGCTACTTTTTTCAAATTCAATATCTGGACAAAGATATATTCGTTGTTGCTGGTAGACCATGTACCGAACTTATAGTATAGGTATTATTAGCTCAAGATTTGGCAATCATGCTAGACATAAGAATTCAAAAGAAAGGAAACAATTGGAACGATTTTCCCATCAATGAAAATTTTTAGTAAATAGAAATCAAGTCTTATTGTAAGAATCTGGAAATTATATGGAAAATTTTCTATGACATACATTTATAATTTGTGGTTCTTCAAGACATCGATTAACATGTTGTTGACGTTGATCAATAGTACTTAAGTTGGATAAAACTTGATTACAAATAGGACATGTTACATCATTATTTTCGATTTGTATTAAGACTGATTCAAGACATTCTTTAATTGGATCATTTTTTTTTACAACAGAATTTATTTTTGGTGGATGAATAACTTTAGGACGTTTTCTTATCGTTATAAAATCATCATCATCATCATCATTAATTTCAATAGGAGTGTTCTTTTTTGGAGAAATAAGTTTTGTTATTGGATTCATGACATTTTCTTTTGATGAACTAAATAAACTAAGTTTGATTACACAAAAAACACAAAGCAAACTTTAACAAAATCACAAACATTGTTCGTTTCTTTGATGTAAATTTATCCACAAGATAATTATTTCGTTTATTATTTTCATCTGTATTTCTTCGAATAAATGTTTGTTGTTGTTCAATAACAGTTCGTTGTCTTTTATTTAAAATTGATGTTACGATACGATTAACATGCTCATTTGATACTTTTGTTGTTGAATGTGTGAACATATCTTTTCTTTAATTAAGACCTTCTTGTTCACGACGTTTATTACGTAATTTTTTATATCGTTCGTAATTATCAACTTGAATTTGTTCGTGAATTCGTTGTTTTTGAAATAAATCAATCGCTTTTTCTAATTCTAATGAAACAAAAAAAAATACCAATTATGCAAAAAAGAAATACCAGAAACAAGTAGAATAATTTAACAAACCTTGACTATTTAAACCTTCAGCACTGACAATACGTTCAATTTCACCTTTTTTAATACCTTCTATTGTTCTTTGTCTGATCCGATATGAACTTAACAGAAAGACATAATTCAATAAACCAATTTTTAATCATTTTACTTACTAATAAAAATAACCAAATGTAATAAAAGATACTGTTGTAATGAAACCAGCACCGAGAGACCAATAATAAAGTGGAGCACGATTCTTTCGGATGTCGTTCACCAAAGATACCTAAATACATTTCCATGAATATTATTATACATCAAGTTTCTTTTAAAATAAAGTTACTTCAAATCTAAAGTCATAGTTTAAAATGGAGTTAAACAAGGACACGGACTCATCACTCCTCACGGCTTTTGAAAATGGTTTACGAAGTACCTCGTCATCTATTACTCAACCACTCTACATCCTAATCGTGCCTCCAATACTGAGTTATATTTTAGAATAAGAAATAATATAAATGATTTTCTAGTTTAAAGAATCTACTCGTGTGATTCTCTTTAGGAACGTTGGCTTAGTTCTTAACATTCAAAATTTAAGTACTGGATGCGTGCCTCAAATTAACTGCGCACATTCACACAATCAATAGTAGTAGAAGTCATAACTACGTCTATAATTTGAGTATGTCAATATCATGAATATTGTAGATATAAGGAATTCAACTATTTTTAAAAACTGACCATAATTCTTTGGAAAAGTACAGTAGAAAAGGCAGGGTATTTGAAACATAATCAACATATGTTATTAATACATGTTCTAAATAGATGAACATACAAGTGAATTTAGATGAATTTGGAAAAGATCACAGCAATAATGGTTTTTGAAATACTCAAAATATAGACGTTGTTAGGATTTCTATCTACGTCGACTGCGTGAATGTATTCAATTAATTAAGGCGCGCATGCACTGTTAACGTTTTCAATTCCAAGAACTAATATAACACAAAAATATAAATATTTGAAATTACAGCTTACAGTTATTTTTTCTGTTGTTGATATCGGCCTGATTCTTTAAGAACAATCAATGAGGGAGAATAATTTATACCATCGCTAACAGCTCATCGTGCTCTATAAATTGGTATAAACTTAATTGAAAACGAACACTGACACTTATGAATCTTTCCTTGTAAGTAGAGAATACACTTATAAGTCATGACATGCATCAAAATGGAATAAAAAAATGTCAACTTCAAATACTGAATAGATCAACCATAAAGAATGGCTCTCTCACTATTTCTGAAATATTTCGATCAGTTTTTACCTATTGGAACATATATTTAAAAAGAAATTTTTTAAAAATAGCACTTTCTCAACATCAATCGCGACGTGTACAGTAAACTTTCTTTTGATACAATTACTCAATGCTACTCTGTAGGATATGGTTACAATGAACAGTTCTATTTCTCAATTAGTGATTTTTTTTTTTGCTTCAAGTTATGAGATGAGCCAAATTATCTTCTATGGTCGATGTGATTGAATCAAAATCTAGAGAACAGATATCTTAGCCAATTTTATCAATAAATGATGCAAGCTAGTCTTTATGTCACAATTATTTCTATGATTGTGATCAGTTCAGTCCAAGAATTTATGTCTTAAATAATAAATATCTTACCTTTCTCAATCGTATCATTCAACTATTGTCAAGAAAAATATCTAAAATGTACTAATATTTTAATGTTTTATTCCATCAAATTCATAAGATAAATTAATTGGATATTTTATGTTTATTTAATAAAAAAAAACACCGAATTTAAAGGGTTATATTCGTTCGCATATTGTTATCTAGCGTTACAATTTGTTTACTTTAATAATAACACAAGTTAACCATAATCGATAGAACGCGATTGAAATAACGAAAAAAAATTTCTTGCTGTTTTTATTTTTATTGAGAATAAAGAATAATACGTACAGAAGAAGAAAAAGAGGAAAAGAACACAAATATCAATGAATCAATCACTCGGTTTTTTTTTCACAAAAAAAAAGAAGAAAAGAAAAAAGCAGAAGTCAATAAAAATCTTCAGGATAGCCTTCAGGTATTTCACCTTCATATTCAAACATATCTTCTATATCTAAATCATCATCTAAATCGTCTTCATCATCAAGTAAATCATCATAAATAAGTCCATCATCAGGTAATGGAACATTTGCTGTATCAGTTGATGTCCAATCTGATATTAAACTATTTGAATGTGTTATAGTTACATCATATGTATTTGTATTTGTTGATGGTGATTGATTTTGTTGTTGTTCATATTGATCAGCTGATGAATTCGATGATTGTTGAGTTTCTGTATCAATTAATGTTGCTGGTGATTCAATTGTAGCAGCAGCTGATGATATAGATGATTGATATTGTAGATTAGGTACTATTTTAATTTGTATTGAATGTTCATCAGTTAATGATGAATTTATTATTTGTTCCGATTTTTTATTTGTATCCGATATTGATGGAATATTTACTGTTGTTGATGCTGTTGTAGAAGAAATTGAAGAAGAAGAAGGTGGTGTTACTTGATCTGTTGTTATAGTATTATTATTGTTATTATTATTGTTATTCGATGATGATTTAAGTAAAAGTGTTGTTAATTCAGATGGAATAACAAGATCATCAGGTAGTGTTAAAGAAGTTAATTCTTTCTTCAGATCATTTGTATGACGTATAAGTGATGCAAGATGTTGACTTAGAGATGAACTAATACGTTTTTCAGTTGATGATGTTTCTTGTAATTCATGTATCCATGCTTCACATTGATCAATTATTTCATCTAGATAAAATATGAACAAAAGAAAAACAAGTATTGAATTTTTATTTTATTTATTTTTAAATATTTACTTCGTTTCAAAAAGAAATGTCGCCGTATAACATCAACAAAACAAGCAGGAGGACTTCGCAATTGTTCAAGCATTGCCCATCGAACTGTTGCTTGTCGAATATTAGCATCATATTCAAGCGATTGAGCGGTACCAGTTGCTGTTCCACGTGTACGTTCATAACCAGGTTCATTGAAATAAGGTTCAGGCACAAATATAAGAGATTGGATAGAAACAAGAACCTTTTAAAAAAAAATACAAAACAGAATAATTATTTTATAATACAAATGTTAAATATATTCAGTAATGATATTTTTATAAAGAGTTACAGTCTAAATCGAAGATGATCTTCTCAATCTTGGACAATTTTCGTCTTTTCTACTAGCTCTAGGTACTATAAAATGAATTCAATTTAACAGTCTACATGAATAATTTGCTATCACTTTTTCATCTAGAAACAGGCTATTCCAATTTTTAAAGAATATTTCGAACTCGTTGGGTCCAAAATTTTTGAACTTGAACTCGGTTGAATTTCGGAAATAACCTAACGAGTTCTCAAGAATACTAAATGACTGCTACTGCCCAAACAAATGCTTTGATCCCAGTTACTCTTGTAATATTAAGAAGAATGTTGGTGCGAGTGAAAAGTAGCATCAAGAGTGAGAATGAAAACGAGGTCTATGATTCATTTCACTGTTTTTATGTGTGATTTTGAACTAGCCGTAGTCCTAACTAAGAACCGCAGGAAAGAACATTTCATGGAAGTAACATTTGTAGATTTCTAATTGACAATGGCAATATTATTGATCTTGAGGTTATATCGAATCGCCGCATAAATAATTTGTGTCTGACAGATCAATATGAATTTCTTTAGTTACTCTCTTGAAAACAAGTTTGCATATCATTACATAGATAAACATATACCGTACAACCTAGAAACACCTATCTCGATTGGTACCATTGAATATACTGTCCACAATAACTGTGCGAGCTAATGTACTAATGAAGAAATCTTATCAAATGATAAATTGCTTTCGAGATTAGTCTAGTCTGATTAAGTAGGCTCTCTTGAACCTAAAGAAAATAAAAAAGGATTCATTTCATGAGTTATGCGCACTCCAGCGACTTTTTCGATTGAAATACCATCTTATCTCTCAGATCAACTTCAAATTAATTTTCGAGTTCAAAATTTTGTACTTAAAGAGTCGAGAGAGAAACAACAGAGATTTCAGTGTTGAAGTCAGTCGTTTCCTCCTCGTATAAAGTACTCTATAAGACTAATTAAACTTTGTTCTTATATTTATGTTTCAAGATTGAACATGCTTGAAAATCATACAATTTCACAATGGATGACCTATCCGATTCAGGACTTATACACTACTGAGCTATGAAAGTCAACCGTGCAGGTAATTGAAAGCAAACTATGGTAAAAATTTACATACAGTAATCTTTTTTTTTGGCTTTTTCTAATCTCACTAGGCTCTACGTAATAAGATAAAATCAAGGAAAACAAACGTAAAACTTCAGTAGTTCTGATTATGAAAACTAATTTAAAATTACTTGTAAAAATGTTGATGTTGAATTCCATTTTTCTTCTGGTCTACCATGCCATGTATTCAATATACTTAAACAAACTTTACCATCATTATATAAATTTGGATTAAATCTAACTGTATGATTTCCTGTTGTTTCTAAATTAATTGATGGTGGTGTTGTTGGATATTCATTTGGAAAATAAACATCAAATATAAAACATCCATTTGAATATGGTGTACCATCAGGACCAGTTATTAATATTTTCATAATATCCATACGATTTTCATCTGAACGTACAAATATAGTTGAATTAAATGATAATGGTAATGATGTTGATATAGTTATTTGTTCTTGTGCTAAACGTTTTATTCTTTGCATTGAATTTATTGTTAATGCATCACGTACAATATCTTCATAATGATATTTAATTGTTTTATTAAATAATATTTTATCATTTGTTTCATTTTCAATTGTTATTGGATATGTACTAAATTGTAATAATTTCATTGTTTGACAATAAAATTCTTCTAATGTTATTAATTCTTGTTTATTATGTATATTTAATTGATTATATTGATCATTTTCAATTTGTTTATCTTGTTTTATTTTATCATAGACTTGTTTTAATTCAACAGAAAATAAATTTAATTGTTCATCATCATCAATTTGTATCATTGATGTATATGTTTGTACACATTGTAAAAGATTTTCAATTAAATATTCAATATTACTTGTTTGATAAATTAAATTTTTTAATTTATTATTATTTAATAAACAATTAACTAAACGTAAACAATAACGATGTATATCACCTTGTTTTGATATATCTAATATTGAATCATTACGTAAATATGATTCAAGTACAGGTATAAGACATGATGTATTTATGATTTCAATTAATTTATCATCAAGTAATTCTTCAGATAATTTATTTGAAAATATTGAATAAAATATATCAAATAAATAAATAACATGTTCTTCATGTAATTTTTGTATTTGTATTATTTCATCTGGTTTCCATTGTGAATGTGTTGAACCAGTACCAAAACCAGTACCTTTAGCCCAAAAATTTGAATTTGTATTATTATGATTAGTATGACTTGTATTATTAATTGTATTTAATTGTTGAATAGTTGTTGATTCAATTTGTTCAATATCATCTTCATAATATTCATCATCATTATCATCAATTATTGTTGCATTATTTATTGTTGTTGATTGTGTTGATGGTACTGATAATGATGATAGTTGTGGTGTTGCTGTTGCTGCTGTTGTTGTTGTTGAATCTTTTTGTTTACGATGTGGATGACGTGTTATTGATGATAAACATGATAATAATAAAAGTAATATACTTGAATGTAATATTTCATCTAATAAATCATTTGATGAATCTTTAAGTAATATTGATAAAGTTTCAAATGGTAATTTCGATAATTGACGCATATCAAAATTTTCTTGATGTTGTTGTTGTTGTGTTTGATCTTGATATTCATTTGTTATAGATTCTTTTTGTCCAAGCATTAAACGTATAATATTACATGCAAGTGAACGATTTTTTAACATAGCACGTGCATAATTTGGTAAACGAAGAAATATTGAAAATGTTATAAATACATAATATGGCATTGTCATATTATTTGAAGAATTTGTTGTTGTTGTTGAAACTAATGATGAAAAATCAAAGAAATTTATTTTATCAAATATATTTGTATTTGGTGATGATGATGATGTTAAACATTCATCATAGGATTGTATTGATGGATAATTACGAGCAAAATGTTGAGCAAGAATTTTAAGACCATTGGCATGTACAAATGTATCAAGTAATGTTGGATAATCTTTATTGGCAACTATAGATTTATGTGTGATTAATTCATTTTCCTAAATAAAAATAAAATTTTGTCTTTTTTTTTTTTTTGATATTGATTAGAATTTAATATTGTTTTATAGATTTTGAATGTTCGAATTTACATCTTAATTTTTGACTATTAAAAAAAAAAACAATTGATCAGAATCAGAATTTCTTGCTATTTCTGAATATATATTTAGATTTTTCTTCAAGATATAATATAGAATTAACTATCAGTAAGTTTAGTGAAAAAGTTAAAAATTGTGGTTTTTTGGTGGAACAATTTCAACTAAACATTACTAAATTATGTACAAAATGAGATATTAATAGGCAAAATTTTTTTAGTCTAAGTGTTATCTGATGACTTGTCATTTCAAAAATCGATAGAAAAGATTTTTTGCAACAAGATTAAATATTCTCAATTGAGAAAATTCTACAATGACGATCACACAGATGCATAATTTTAACCTTGTAAAAGTTTTTTTTTATCAGACGTCTGTTTACGGATGCTTCTTATGTGTATAGTATAGGGAATATTTTCGTTTAATAATACTTGCTGATAGCTATTTTTAAACTTTAATAATAAAAAGAAAAAACAAGATCACTTTGCTAAATTATTCATAGATTTTTTTTTCATATAATATAAAATACTCGAGAATCTTTGACATATTTGTTTCACAATCATATTTCTTTTAGTATATGAACATTCAGAAAATTTTTTCTTCGATTTAATATAATTCAACTTACTTGACCATCATTAATTAAAATATGATTATCAAAAGTAAATTCAATAACATCAACTTCGTAAGTATTCAATAATCGACAATCAAATGATAATAATAAATCACTTAATCGTGTAGTTTTTGGTAAAATACATTGTCGTTTTTGTCCATTAATATGTAATATAAAATGAATATTTTCTACAGGTGTTACTGATGAAGTTTTCTTTGGTATTGATGATTCATTTGTTGTTAATTTTGATGATAATTTTTGATGTTTAGTTAAATTTGATAATGAACTAATTGATTTTGTTGTTAATTTTCCTGTTATTGTTGATTTTAATGAAACTAATTCAGATCGTGGTATTTTTCTTCTTTGATTATTATTAATTGGTTCACTTGCTGCTTTTATTAAATAACTTTTATTTTTAATATAATTTGTTGCTGTCCATATATTAGCTTGTAAATAATTAAAACCAAATAATTTTTCAATTAATTGTCCAATATTCATTGATATTGAACAATCTTGAATTAATTTATGATAAAGTGAATTTCTTTGAAATGATGAATATTCACGTATATTTATTGGATAATCTCGTGTATTTATTAAACATTGTATATATTCATGTTTAAGTACAACTTCACTTAATATATATTGTAAATAACCTGTTAATGGACGATCTTGTTCAAGACGTTGTTCAGTTAAATAAGCTAAATATGATGATATTAATGACATATTTATTTGATTTGTTGGACATTGTAAAGATAAATTTCTCAGAAGTGTTATTAATTGTATTAATAAAATTGATGGTGATTGTATAAATGATGATATATTTGGATTATTAAATAGATCAAGTAAATATTTCCATATATTTGATGCAATTATTGTTTTTGAAAACCATATTTGAACATTTGAATATTTACTTATTGTTATTAAATAATCAAGTGCATGATAAATTAATAATTGATTTGATGTTTTATTTGATATATATTGAATTTGTTGATTTAATTCTTCAATAGATTTAATAAAATAATCATTAATTAAAATTTCATTAAGAAATTCAACACTTAATGAACATATTTTTAATTGTTTAAAATATTCAATAAATGATTCATTTTTATTAATATAATTCATAACTAATAATGGTTTATGATGTGCTATTGATGGTAATAACCATGAATAATTTATTAATAAATATTCTAATAAATTTTCATCAAGTTTAATATTATCTTCTTTTATTTTCCATAATATATTATTAATAATTTGTTTCATTTGATCATTAATTACTTGATTATTATTATTATTATTAACTGGTTGATTAATATTATTAATTAAATAATTAATATTTTTTTCATTGAAATTTAATTCTGATAAAATATTAAAATGATTATAAGTAATTAAATATTTAATAAATAAATCAAATTGTTTATCCGTACAATGATTACCAATAAATATAAATATTTCATTAAATATAATATTATTTGTATAATAAAATTTTTCTTTAAGTATAAAAAGAAATTTTTCAAATAGATTATCATCTAAATTTGAAGAATTTTTTAAACATAAATGTATTAATTGTAAATAATGATTAAATGAACGATATTTATCAGATAATATCATTGATACATGATGACTATTATCAATTATATTTGTATTTGTTGTTGAAGATTTTATTGATGAATACATTAATTTAATATCATCATCATTTAATGTTGTTATTATAGATGTATTTGAATTTTTACTATGTAATATTTGTTTACCATAAACTGTTGATATTAATGTTTGATATGGATGACTTGTTTGTTCAATAATCATTTGTTGATCATATGCATAATAACCAAATATTGATATTTGTTGTAAACCAATTGTATCATGATCAATTGGTTTATAAAAATGTATACGTAATTGTCTAACAATATCAATTTGTTTAGTTATAGATAAATTAATAATTTGTTGTCCTTGTGTATTTAATAAATAAGCACATGGTATAAAATAATAACCATCAGATGATATTTCACATGTTATTGATGATGGATATTGTGTTAAATTTGTATTTAATTGATCAATTATTGTATAATGATTAATAGATAATTGTGTAAATGGTACTATTTGTATGGATTTTAATATAATTGAATATGGAAATTGTAATGTTAATGTACAACGTTGTTCATTAGGTAAATATGTATATGACCATGGTGGTGAACGTAAACGACGTGATGATGATGTTATTGTTGTTTGAACATTATTATTTGATTGTATTAAAATTTCAGGTGATGATGCATTTGAATTTGAACATGTTATTTGACATTGTGGTGATAAATTTATTGAACCTATATCCATAGTATTATTTGATGATTGTCTTTGATCATAAATACGTTGTATTGATGGTATTTGTGTTTGATTTGATAAATAATTTGAATATATTATTAAATTATTAACTAATAAATCAAGAAATTTATATTGATTTAATGCTTCATTTAAAATTTTTATATTATGTATTGAATAAATAATTAATAATAATAATGGTGATGATAATAATGGATTTGTTGTTAAATAATGACATAATATTGGTAAAATATAATTTGGTTGTGATATAAATGATGATAAACAATAATAAATACTATCACCAACTGATAATAAATCATTTATATTTAAATGTATTGTTGTATGTATAAATGATGAATATTGATTTGTTGATGTTATTGATGCAGCAAGAAATTTTGTTGAAGAATTTAATGATATAGATGGTGATGAATCAAGTGATGAATGACACATTGAAAGTATTGAAAGAAGTTTTTCAATATAAATTGATTCAAGTAAATCATTCGAATGTTCATCATCAATATCATTTATTTTTATAGTAATTTCTTCATTTTTAAAACGTTTACGTTGTTGATCATGTGATTGATTTGTATTTTCTATAAGTTTTGTTATTAATAATATCATTTGTCGTACACATGTATCATATAAATTACATTGACGACGAATTGTTGATGATTTTGAACTTGTTGCTGAATCATTATTATTATTATTTGCGGTTGTTGTTGTTGTTGATGATGATGATTGATTATTTTGTAGAGAAAGTTTATTAACAGTATTCATTAATTGCCATTTATTTACAGATGATGGAGGAATTAAAGAATTTGTTGATGATGATGATGAAGACGATGATGAAGTTGATATTTGACGATGATGAATACGATCATAATTAAGAAAACATATTAATGGATGAATATCTGTTTGAGTAAATGATAATGGTGAATATGAATAACAAAATGACCAAACAAAATCAATTATATTACGACAAAGTTTAAGACGTATTGATGATGTTGCTTGTGAAAAATTTTGTTTAAAAAGATAAGTTAAAAATTTTAAATGACAATTAAGAGGACCATGAAAACCATTACTGATAAGACGATCAAGAATAGATAAAAGTGTATTAAGATAAAGAGTATTGATATTAGATGATGATGATGATGATGATGGAATATCTTGAGATTGATTTGATATATCTAGGAAGAAATTTTGAAACAACTACTTATTATTCAATTAAAAACCAGAGATATTCATTGTGACTTAAAAATTTCTCTCAACAATAGAGAAAAAAATTTTGAGAGCCGCAGCTACGATAAACCATTATGATAGAAAGAGAGAATTGATAAATTTTTTCTACTTTAGTTACATATACATATGTGTGGGACCAAGTCTTATTCAGTTTTGGTTCTAGTTCATATGGTTCAGTTGGCGGGCTGAGCCCTATCTCCATTCAGTGTTGATCATAGGCTTACTCTCGGCAAAACTGGCCTAATCTTGACCATCATCTATAGTTTTGATAATCCTGATTACAGTATTAGCAAATTCAATTTGGTCTTGTTATAGAGAATACCTATTCCAGATATTATGCATATCATTGATTTAGTGGACGAGTGGCACTTTCGTTTTTTTTCAAAAAGTCATCTCCTTTCTCATGAATTATCAATTGAAGAAAAAAATCTATTATAAATCTTACCTGATGTTGCTACTCTTTTACTTAATTTAATATTTTCTGTAATATTTATATTTTCATCATCACACATAAATAATCGTTCAAAATAATTAATTATAATATCAACTGTACTTTCATCAATCATATCTTGTGTTGTTTGAATAAATTTTAACCATATTTTAGCAAATAAACTATTATCAATATCACCATTAAACCATAATTTTTTCATTTGTTTAGCTAAATCAATATTTGTACTTGTATAATATAATAAAGAAAATAAATGATGCCATAAACGTATTGTAACTAATGATGATTGTAATAAAAATTTTAATAATTTATCTAATGTATTAATTGACATAATAAATAATGGTTTTAAATTAAGATTTATTGGTGGTTGATTATTATTTAATGTTTCTGTTTGTATATTAATTTGTTTATGATTTAATATATTTTTTGAATAATTAGTTAATGATATAATTAAATATGATGATAATATATGTTCTATTTTATTAAATATATCATATGATATAAAATGTTTTTCTTCAATAAAATAACATAACATATTTTGATAAATATCATTTAATAAATCAATTGTTATATTTGAATTTGATATATTTTTTTTTGTTATTTCATATTGATTTTTATCATTAATATTTATATTTAAATTATAATCAATTGTATATTGATTTAATTGAAATAAATTTTTATTTAATAATGTTTGTATTTTAAATGATTGATTTATTGTAAATAAATCAAATATAAATTGTATATTACCATCAAGACGATTATCAATTGAAAATGGTATTATATCATAATTTAAATTATTTATTATTGATATTGGTTGTTGTAATTGTTGTTGTTGTAATTGTTGTTGTTGTTGTTGTTGATATGATGATGATTGACTTAAAAGTATAAGAAAATCTTCTGTTGTTGGATATAATATATCTTGTTCAGATGTTTTATTATTTTGAAATTGTAAAAGAATTTGTTGTGCATTATTATTAATAGGTTTTTTTTTTTGATTTTTTAAATGCTGGAAAATGTTTTTTTTTATGTTCATCATTTAATTCTTTATCATCATCAATATCAATATCATCATTAATATTATTAGCATTATTATTATTATTATCATCATCATTTGAATATAATTCATTTGGTAAATATATTTCATTATCAATAAAATCCATTAAAAAATAATTAAATGCATATTTTAACCAAATTTGTTCTGTATTTAATATTAATTTAATTAAATTTTCTTTATTTATATATTCATTTAATAATAAAAATGGTTTACATGAACGACTTATATCTGTTAATGATTTACATATTAATATAAATAATTCATTTGATAAATTTTTATTATTAATTAAAATTTCAATAAGATATTTTGAAACTTGTAAAACTAATGAATGATAACAATAATAATCAATTGAATTTGTTGGTGATATAATTATTGTTGATGTTGGTATTTGTGTTAACATAGCTGTTGATGATAATGTTGATGATGATAATGATGATGATGATTTTGTTGTTTTTTTTAATAATGTTTCTTTACGTAATTTTCGACGATAATTATTTGCTGAATTTGTTATACGTGGACTTTGTATTATTGATGATGTATGTAAAAATTGCCAATGTTTATTAATTAATTGTGAAAAATTTGTTTTTTTATTTGTTTGTTCATATGAATAAGGAAATAAATTTTTTTCTGATAAACGATATAAAAATAATAATAACCATTCAATTGATTGATAATTATTATTTGTATTTAATAATAAATTATATATATTATTTATATATTCAATAGCTAATAAACGATTATAATAAATAGTTGTTTCATTTGATGAATTTATTGTTAATAATGTTTGTTCACATAAATCAACAAGATTAATAAATAATGATTGTTGTTGATCAATTGTTAAAATATCATTTGATAAAAAATAACGTTGAAAACATTCTTTAACAAATTCTGGCCACCATGAATGATATGAACATAATTGTAATAGACGTTTTGGCATATCAATTATTTGTACATGACGAATAGCAAATGTATCAAAAATTTGTAAAGCATCATTTAAAGAAATAAATGACGAACATGCAGACAAACTAAAAATGACAATCAAATAAAAAAAATTTTTTCAGTCATACTGGAATAGAAACCAGAGGTCCAAACAGGGCACTAGGGCTATTGCTCAACCTGATCCTGATCCGCCTGCCATAGGCATCACCCATGGCTTTCAGACTAGTGTAGGTGACAGGTCGACAGGCCAAAAATTGCTTGGGCCTCTGACTTGCACTAGTCTGAAAACCATAGGTGATGCCTATGACAGGCAGGTCAGGATTAGGTTGAGCAGTAGCCCAAGTGCCCTGTTTGGACCTCTGGTTTCTAGTCTATCATCATTATTGTACTCGCTTAAAAAACTTGACAAGCATTGACAAGCCTAAAAAACGTGGCCTGTTTGGACCTCTGATAGAAACGGTAACTCTAAAAATGTTTTTATAGTGAAACTCGGAAAAATAACGATTTATAAACTAAGAGTGTGGTGAGAGAGTAGAAGAATCATGAACACATCCTAATCGATTGTATCCTTTTCGAAAATCAAAAACGATTGGCAAACTTTTCATGAGAGACATATAGGTTGAGCTTTTTTTTTTCATAACCAATATCCTGCTAGAGAAAAATTCATTTTCCTTCATCCTGTAAGAACACCTACCCAACCAGAGAAATTCGATTAAAAAAAAACTGCGTTTTTTTGTTCACTCTTTTACATCTTGGACAAAAAAAAGTCGAATTTGAAGATAAGTAAAATATTTTCATATAATTTATCCAAAGAATAGAATTAATAATTGTATCAAAATTCTATACCTATCTGTTTGTTGCATCATTCCAGATAATGATGTTAATTCACTTGTTAATAAATCAGCTAATAATTTTAAATAATCACTTGTTGGTTGTGGATCATGAATTTGTATATCTTCCATTTTTAAAAGATTTCTACATTGATTTATTTGTCTATGAGCATGATTTATTTGTATTTGTAATTGAATACATTCATGATAAATATTTTCAATAAAATTTTTTTCAACATTATTTGTTGTTGATAATAAATTAAATAATTTTTGTCTACATAATGCATAATTTGATATTAATGTTTCATAAATACCTTCAATTGATTTTAATTTTTTTTCATATTTTTCATTATTATTATTATTATTTGTATTCATATTATCATTATCATCATTTAATATATATGGATAACCAAAAAAATATCCAACAGGTAAACGTATTGATGATACAGATATATTTGATTGTCCAATTAATGTTATACGTATATAACGTGCTATAATAGCTGGTTGTAAATCATGTAAAAAAAATGGTTGATTTGATATATGTGTTGAAGAAAATAAACGTTGACAATCAATATGTTCACCATATGACCAAAAATCTAAACTTAATGATGCTAATTCATGACATGATGGTATTAATATATCAGTTAATGTAACTTGTTGTCCAAAATCTAAAACAAAATAACTTCTACCACCACCTGATAAACGATCAATTATAAATTGATATAATGGTAAATATTGTCCATGAAGAATATTATTTGATATTTGTGTTAATATATCATCAATTGTTATTTGTTGTTGTTGTTGTTGTTGTTGTTGTAATTGTTCAAAATTTTCATCATCAATTGAATTTTTATTATTTGTTAATAAACGATTTGTTGATAATGTTTGTTGATTTTGTAATGTTAATATTGTTTTTGATGTATGTAAAAGATCTGTAAATAGATTTGAATTTTTTTTTAATATTGATGTTTGTGTTGTAGCAGCTTTATTTTTTTTTGCAATTAATTTTAATTTTTCTTTTTGTAAACTTTGTTTATCTTTAAATTTTGATGCTAAATGTGGTAACCATGGTGATGTACTAATTAAATTATTATTTATTTGATTATCAATTGTTGTTGTTGTTGATATTGGAAATGATGTAACTATTGTTGATGCTGCATCATTTGTTATTGATGATGATGTTGTTGTTGTTGGATTTGTTGTTGTTGGTAACATATAAAGTGTATCATGATATGCATTTATATTTGGTGTTGGAAATGAAAATGGAAATGTTGTTGTTGCATTAAATGTTGATATAGCTGGTGGTAATGGTGGTGGTGGCATTGAATTTGATGTTGTTGGATTATAAAGATGATGTGAACCAGCTGTAAGTGTAACATTTGATGGTGGTGGTGCATTTGTTGCTTCATATGTTCGTAATGTTAATAAATGTGTCATATCAACACATTCAAGACGTGTACCATCACTTGATGAATGCATTGTATAATTTAATGGTGTTATTTCAAATAGACCTGGTATAGGTTTTAAATAAACATTTGATGATGAAAGTGAATTTGGTAAAAGTTTTGATAATGCATATTGAATATTTGTTGAAGAATATAATGTTTCAGGATCACATGGAATTATTGGTAAACCAGTTGTACCATAACGTGAATAAATACGTGGATCATAACAATTATCATTCATACCAAGTGGACGTGATGATTGAGATGTATTTGTTGAATTTGATGATGATGATGAATTTAAATTACGTTGACGTAGACTACATTCAATTAATGTTGATAGATCAACATCAAATAAATGAGCATCAAATGGATCAGCATAAAATCCAAATCTTAAAAAATAAATAAACGAATCATAATTATAATCTTATTTTATATATATTGTTCGTACTACAGATGAGAGTGTATTAAATGAATGGTAAAGAAAACAAGTTCAGAAAATATTTCAGTAATACAAATTTTTTTCTCATCAATGGAATTGACTAAGGTTGTGTGGTTAATAAAGACAATTTGGATATTTAATAGTGAAAACTTCTCAAAAATAGATTTAAAATATTCGTATTTCTCTAATAATTTAATTGTTTTAATTCCGTAGGATAATTTCGGTGTCTAATCAGAACTGGAATTTTACTTTCGGTTTCGAGTAATATTTGAAAACTACCGAAATCTAGGTCAAAGAAAGAGAATTCAAATTCATATTATAGATTAAAATGATAAAATATTTAGATCTTTCTTCTTCAGTTATGATTAATAATTTACTAAACCTTCATCATATTATTGGATATGATGAAAAACAATTGTAACACGAAATTTTCAAAGCGATAGAAAAATATATATTTTTTCATGTTAGTTAGAGAAGTTTCCTTTGTTAGATCTTTAATATTAAAATTTAAATATATTTACTTATTTCTTAATTGTTGTCTTTGTATTGTATCAGTTTTTTGAATAATATCAGCTAATTGTAATAACCATTGTAAAAGTTTAGTACCAATTTGATATTGATATTGATTTGTCCATTGTCCAATAATAATAAAAAACCATTTTAATGCTGCTGATGATTTAAATCCAAGTAAATATTGATTATTCATTTGAAATAAATTTAAAAAATTTTCAATAAATTTTTCCATATCATTATCATTTTTAATAATCATTAATATTAATGTTGTCATACGTTTAGCTATTGTTCGTGATGCATTTATAAATGTATGTTGTAAAAATGTTTCATTTAATAATAAAAATTTTAATTGATTAATTATTTTAATATTATTTGTTGTATAAATAATTGATATTAATAAATTTAATGAAAATAATATTTTTTTTTCATTTTTTGTTGTTAATATTGTTGATGTTAAACAATTTATTGTTGAATTATCATATAAACGTAATAAACGTGTTTGATGTTTTGTTGAACGTAATGTTATTGATATTGTTTCAATAGGAAATAAATTTTGTTGTAATATTGTTTGATTTATTATTGTTGAACATTTTGATTCAAGTACAAGACGAAAATGTTTTGATTTATATGTTAATAAATCATATGAACATAATTGTATAAGACCTTGATCATGTATAGGTGATTCTAAATAATCAATTAATGAATATGGACCAGCAAGTATATCATCATTTGAAAAATTTATTTGAGAATTTAATTGATTAAATTCAATTTTTTGATCAACATCATTTGGTTCATTTGTATAACGATATAATGTAACAAATAAATTTTTTTTATATAAATTTTGTCGATTTAATGTATAACGAAATTCAATTGTATGTAATATACATGGTGTTGCTGTTTGTAAATCAAATATATGTATTGAAGGTATTATTTGTTGATTTGTTGATTGTTGTTGATTTATTTGAGGTTGTTGTAAACGCCATGTATGACGATCAATATTTGTTTTTGTTGTATCAAGTGTATCAATCCAATAGGATGAATTAACATGAGCAAAAAAATATGTGACCGCTGATGAATCAAATGATGTAAATGATAGAAGTGAACGAAGAGTTGATATTGAATATGAATTTGAATTTTGATCATCAGTGAAAGATTTTAATTGGGAAGGATTTGTAGAAGATGTACTCGTTCTTTCATCAGATTGTATATGAGTAAAATAAGATGGAAATAGATCATGCATATTAAACTAAAGAAAAAGAAAAAAAGTATGAGTTAGATTTTTTTTTGTTTAATAAATCGTGGTTGTTTTCAAGTAGAAGTTAACTCATTTAAAAGTTTTTTTTTGTTGTTGTCCTATATGAATATTTAGAGCTAATAAAGAAAATCTTCCAACTGATTAATTAATTTTGAGTTGAAATTATAGACATCATATAGATCTAAATGAGTTTTGAATATCCTGAAAAGAGTTTCAATTATTAGCTTATTGATATGTAAATTCTAGAAATTGACAGTAGTTTTTAAAATGAATGCCGTAGTTCTTTTGCGGGATATCAGGAAAACTAATATTCGAATTTCGACTGGAAACTTTCTGTCATTGTTTTTTACAGCGTTGTGGTAACTTAGGACAGAAATTGAATTTTGAGAACGCATTTACTTTTCTCTAGCAGAAATTCAAATAAAATTAATCAAATAATATTATTGCGAAATTAATAAGAGTAAAGGCCTGTCAGCAGATCTTCTACTCAGGGAGTTGAATAATGATGGGTTTCGTTCTTGGTTCACTGACCACTACTTCTAACACTCTAAAATAGTTTTTTTCATGTTGCAAGGAACACAAAATACAAGTCGCCATAACCTTTCTGTAAATGGAAAAGATTTTTCTACAAAACGTAGTAGTTATATGTTCTTTTACCTTTTCTTTTCAAGAAATATATCTTGAATTAGAAATCCCTAGATATATATATATGTAGATCTTCTCTATGACAAAATGATTACTAGATAAATTTTGACAAACCTTTTTAACACCATTATCAGTGATCCACGCATAAAGTATATCTGTGCCTCTAACATGAACACATTTTTCAACATTTTCAATTATTTGTCTATCTGCTAAAATACCAATATTATTTTCTTCTTGTGTATTTTCTAAATATGTCGTACGATAAACATCATAAAGTAATAAATGTCCAGATTTAAAACAAATTAAAAAACATTTTCGTTTTAATATTTTATTTGTATATTGTTCTTTCTTTTGACATTCATCATTAATATCAATATTATCATCATATTCAATATCTAAATTTTCATCATTATCACTAACTATTGATTGTTCATCATTATTTATAATATCATCATCATCTAATATAATTGGATTTATTGAATCAATATCAATATCATTTGTTGATGATTGATAAATACAATGATAAAAAATTATTTTTAATGTTAATGTTATTTGATCATATTCAATACAATAACCATGTATACAATCAGTTGTATTTATTAATAAAATCATTTTTGTTTTAGTTAATTGATATATATAAGCTTGTTTAGGTATATATTTAAAATTTGAAAATTCAATTAAATAATCATATTTATTATTTATTTTAATTTGTTCATTTATTATTGTTGTTTCAATTGATTCATCATTTTGTGAACTATTTTTTATTGTCGATATACATGATGGATTTAAATTTTCATATTGATTTATTGTTGTTGTTGCTATTAATATACATTTATTTGTTTCATTTAATTGTAAAAAACAAAAAATTATATAATTTTCATTATCATTTGTTATTGTTAATGGATACATTGTTAATGCAAGTGGATTAAATTTGAAATTAAAATAACGTTTTGATGTTAAACGATCAAAATGTTTTATAAATATTGTTTCATTATTATCGGATAAAATATTTTCTTCTAAAATATTTTCTGTTGTTAATTGTTCAATAAGATTTTTTAATGATATTATTGTTTTTATATGTATAACATTTGTTGTATCAACTGAACGTATTATCCAATCAGAATTTAAAAATAATAATATATGTTCATTAAATATTAATTCATTAGATTTTATTAACCATTTTTGTTGTTGTTGATTTGAAAATATTTTTTTTCCTGGTTGAATTGAACATGTTGTACGTAATGGAACATTTTCAGTAAAATCACCTTTTATAAATGGACAATTTGGAGAATGACGTCCATGTTCTGTCCATGGAGAATCAGATGGTTCCCAACAAACAAGTGTTACAGTACAAGCAAAACATAATGCACGATCATCGTTATCTTTTAATGGAGAATAATAGAAACCAGCTTTAGCCATACTTTCCTAAATTAAATAGCAACAAAAAAAAAACAATTTTCTAATAATGAAACAAATTATTCATATTCAACAGTATGATTTCATATGTTTTTATTTTAAATTTTCTCAAATCAATGTACAACACTAACAGACAGATTCATAATCATTCAAGTTTGATCAACTCTTGCTAAGAATTAGATGTCGATTAGATATAAATAGGCATATATCGTGCTCAAATGCCTCAGGCTAAGTTTTACCTTGTGTTTAAAAAAAAGATTCATGATGTGTTACTTTTACTCAAATTACTTTTATGATTGTTTCGGCACGTAAATGGCAGACTAGGTCCGAACAATTCTATCTCGATATAAAATTCTGTTTTTTTTGTAAAATAAAAAAATTTTTGTTCGTAATAAATTTTAATAGTATGATGAATGATACAATTTCTAATCCAGTTCAAGGTTTTTTTTTTCAATATTACATGCAAAGTAATAAGCTTTGTTGAATTATAATGTAACGTCTCTTTATGAAAAGATATTCTTAGTATTGATGCGATTGTATCAAAGATGTCTTTTTTTTGTCAATTTAAAATCCATGAAATATTTTCAACAAGTTAATGAAGAAACGTTTTCTTACTAGAACTTTATAACAATATAAATATGTTATCTGAATGCTTTTCTTGACATTAATAGTAACAATTCCATTGGTCTAGTTTCTTTGGAAATTGGAAAAAGAAAAGTTTCTCAGACTCCTTTTTACAAAGTTGTTTACACAGATCGATAGTTTAAATAAATCTATTAGTTAAGAATAATAACTATGTACATAATCTTTCCAAACCTAGACATGAACAAGATTGAAACAAAAACATTACTACTATACTTATAAAAACATATCCTTCAAACTTTATGTTAATATCAATGTTGCTAAACTCGGAAGCTGAACAAAGATTACTCGTGATTAGAAACAAGACTGCCCAAGCAGACAAAAATTTTGAAAAACGCGTTTAAACGCACAAACGGGAATCACGATTGTAAATCATTAATGCTCATTAAAAAAACGCACGAAAACGCATTTATTGGCGTTTTTTTGTAACATTTTGGGCGTCAAAACGGTGAAAATTCCAGTTTTTGAGCGTTAAAACGAGCTATTACTCTAGAACTTACAAACAATACGTTTTAACGCTCAAAAACTGGAATTTTCGCCGTTTTGACGTCCAAAATGTTACAAAAAACGCCAATAAATGCGTTTTCGTGCGTTTTTTTAATGAGCATTAATGACTTACAATCGTGATTTCCGTTTGTGCGTTTTTCAAAATTTTTGTCTGCTTGGGTAATGATTCAACAATGATTCCAAAATCTCACAGAAAACCATGAGTTATTGACGGATACATAAGAAATCGTGCTTCTTAGCGACACAAGAAAGCTAACTCGTACTATATCTAAATCTTCTTTCAATTGATATAAATTCCAAGAAACTGTCTTTAAATACAATAATTTCGTAACTACAAAAGTCAATATTGACTTCGGTTGCATATGCAAAATTTTTTTTTTTAAATTCTTATAGTAGAACTCAAATGTAAAATAAAGTCTGACATACTGGTGAAAGCCATCGATAAGCTGCATGTGGCCAAAGTGTAAATGTTCTATATCGTGTTGCTTCACTAAACATTAAACGTTCACGTGTAGTTCGTCCACCAGCATTAAAAAAACTGCTTGTTGATGTTGATGTTGTTGTCGTTGTTGTTGATGATGATGATGATGGTGATGATGATGTTTCTAATGTTGAACCAATTTGTTCATCTGTATTTGTTGTTAATGATTTTTTATGATGATAATATCTTGTTAAATAGTCAAGTAAAAGACCAATAACAACAATACCAGGTAATGATGAATATGTATTTTGATGTTGTTGTATTTGATGTTTATGTAAACGTAATATATCAAAACAAATTTTAATTGCATTAAGACAATCATATGAAAATTGTATTAAATTCCATAATGATGATGATGTATGTTCATCAAATTTTTTTTTTAATAAATCATTAAATTCTCCAATATGATTTGATGTTGATAAATCTAATGTTGATAATAATTGTAATAATAATTGTGCATCACCATATGTTAACTCAATAAAAACATGACAATTTTCATCATTTATTGATCCAATAATTGAGTCAAGAAAATAAAGACCTTGATATAATTGTCTTACATAAATATGTGTTGATGTTAATAAAACAAATTTATCATGACAGGATATTATTTCATAATATTCATTGATATTATTTAATGGTAATGTACGATGAAACAATGTTGATAATTGATCAGCACTACGTACAATTATTTCTTGTTTATCATTAAGATAAATTAATGAATTTAATGATGGATTATAAACTATTGAACGTAAATGATTATCAATCATTGTTGTTGATGATAATAGATTTTCATCTGTTTTAGAATTTGTCGCCATAGAATATAGTAGATAAAAATGATAGTTTAAATTAAACTCACCATAAATCTAGAAATAAATTTATACTAGAGTTTTCTATAAAAGAAATAAATTATTATTTTTTTTCATTGTGTAATAATGAATGATTAGATTGGAAGTCATTATCCAATCAGATAGATATGTTTATTATAGACATCTAACTAGATAAATAAATGAAAAATTTATTTCCTATTGGTACCTATGAATTTATTTTATTTAAATAAATTTTAGATAGTTTAGTGAAATAAAGTTTCGGTAATGAACGACATCTAGCAATAATGTTTCCTATGATAATTATTAGGACAACCAAAGATGTGAAATTGTTATTAACTAATGATCCAGAATAAATCTCATCATTAGAGGGTCGATATTTAGATCTAACCAAGAGTTTTGACGATGTTACCAACAATTTCACAAGACAGTTAATATTGAAGAGATTGTTATATAAATAAATAGTAGAATGTTTTTTGTCTATGATAATCAATTCATTTTAGATTTCGTTCTGATTCTCTTTCACATGAAATCCATTTCAAGTAGAAAGAAAATTCGAAAAATAGATCATAAATTTGATCGGTACACTATGAAAATTTCGACTATTTTGAGAATAGATGCAAAGACAATTCAAGAAGAACTTATAACTTGATTGGAATTTAACATTCTATCATATCATATCAAACAGTTGCAACGTGGGAAAAATGTTTTTATGAAGGACGAGATGTCACTGATTACCTTCCATCTGGTGGTCGAGTGTTCGAGCTGACAATGATATTATAGTTAAGAATTCTCTCTCTTATGTTACAATAGAACGCATTATGCGTGATTGTCTACAGATGAGAAAAATTACATCATATTGGGTGTTTTATCAACTCAAGGATAAATAAAAGCAAGAACAAACAAGAATATGTCATAGAAACCTAACGAAATTGTATGATGAATGATGGCGATTATGTAATATTATTGCAAGCAATAAAGCGTGGGTTTATCATAGACACACTATGCAAACAAAGCGAGTTATATGAGTGAAAATGAATCATAAATAACAATTTTTCGCCGAAGTAGATTCGAACTAAAAGCTTTGTTTTTTATGCATTGTTTAAATTAAATGGTATTGTTCTTATATGTAGTGTAGATAAACACAAGATTACAGGTCATCAATAACGGACGGTCTGTAAAGAATGGTACTCTTTTATTTTCTTTGTTTTTTGAAAGACAACAACATAGTTTGATGACATCCTTCTAAACTAAATTGAAATGATTGACAACCAATCAGCAATTGATCTGCGGCTGTCACAAAAGAGAACAATCATTAAAAATACGTTTAAATAACAGTTCCACTGAAATTCTAAATATACTGCAAAATATTCAGTGAAATGCTGCATCTTGAATTGTTTCGTAATTTTAGAGAAAACAAATGGAAGCAAAATTTTTGAAGTAAAACTCAGCAAACAATATAAAAGATTCTTTCTGATAATTGGATGCCATTGTTTGTTTTTAATTCGGCATGATCTAAAGATTTTTATTGTTCGGTTTAGATGTTACATAATTTTGTTCAGAATCCCAATTCTGCATTCGATGATATAATCATAAACTATTTATAAAATACGGCAACTATTCAAAAACACAAGTTTCAAAAGCATATTCCAAATAAAATACCGCCAGATATTAATTCCAAGTCGTTTGCTCGTAAACAATATCATTAAGAAGAATCGAGAAGATCTTGGGGCAAAAAAACTATAGATCTGTTTAACGGCAGCATACTCGATTGTTTTTATTCATCCAGATGTGATTAATTATTGAGTACACGAACATATCAATATTATGTCGTATCCATCGTTTTCATAAAAACCTTGCACCATATGATTTTTTTGTGGAAATGATTATGTCAAACGTAAGTTAAGTGATCAAACAAATGAAAAATTATTATCTCACACGGCTTTCAAGGTGGCCAAAAATATGTCAAAGGAAGAGATTAGAAAAAAAAATTTTGTCAAGTTGTTATAAAAGATGGAACTTTGTAGAAATAATTATGGCGACTATATTGAACATTTGATAAAATAAAACTAGCAATATATCCTAACTTTTATATTTTTATCTACTACTGTCAAAACTTTTGGTCAACTACTATTCGTGTCGTTTCCGATTTGTATTACTTAGATTTGAACTTTTTCCGAAAGATTTACCACGCATTTTTCTCCCAATGTTCATAATAGGAGATTTTACAGTGAACAATGGCACTGAAAAATTCTGCAGGAAAGATTAAGAGGCATGAAAGTGATGCATTTTCAAACATTTTCTTCTGTTTTTTTTTGTCATGCTCAAGCGACTAATGCATTTAATATCAACAAAATCAATATTCAATTTTGTAGCTCTTGAAAAATTCAATCTGTTATTGTCATTTCGAATTGTTTGCCTGCTTGGATCATCTGGGGAAAAAAACAATTTATTTTTGAACTTCACGAGTTATTTTTTGTTACAAAACTTTAGCGTGACATCGTATAACATGTGCGTTTTTATCTTAATATTGTTCTTGACTATGTATTTTTCCTCTATATACGGAGCAACGACATTGATATACATTCAATTATTTGATCTGAACAATGCGCATGAGAAAATCTTTCAGCTCTTTGAAATCTTATACTGCACGAAATATCTCTTTTTTACATCATGACCTTCTTCAAGAAAGCTTTGCTGAGTACAATTACAAAAAAAAACACAATTGAGAAAAGACAAATTTGCTTCTATCGAATTAGATGCTTGGTTGTTGAATAAAAATACAGATTAATTTTTCTTAAAGAAGCTGTTTGTCAAACAAAATCACTTCTTTCGTGTCTTACAATCTGTTTCGAAGAATTTTTTAGTATGAACTTTTTATAGTAAACTCTCTTACAAGGTATTGTACAGAATTATCTGGAAAATATTTTGAAAAAAAAATCCGAATATGAGAAATGAAAATTGGGGTTGATAAAATTGAAATTCTAAGGGTGAACTTTATTCTTGACCATCCATTTTTTGATTTATAAATAATATTGCCACCTCGTCAAGTCTGAAAAACAAAAACGATTTGGAAAGCTGTTTTTTTTGTGGACTCGTCCCATTTCTATGGAATTATATAATTTGTAGCTTCTTTCCATGACACTTCTTTATGTGTTAGCTTCTAAAATATAATAAATAATACATAAAAAAGATGAATACTTCATAAAGCATGTCAGTTTTTGAATGTAGTTACATATACTATTGAAATAATTTTCGATTAGTAGTTCTTTTTTGAGATTACAGATACTTGTGCATGTTCATGCGATAATGAAGTATTTCAATACATAGGTCTTTCTGCAGCTATAAGGTCTACTGACTTTCAATTGTAAAAATCATTGAGAAAATGTCACATTTCTGAAAACAAAAAACATGTTCCGAGATTGGCGTCTTTTATTGGAATAGAACACAGAAAGAATCATACAAACTGTATAGACTGTAGAAGAAAATGATCACAATTTAATGTTAACACATTTTATTATCCCAAATTTTTCAATAAAAACTAAAAACAAAATTTTCTCATATGAAAAAATGAAACAGATTGCAACTCTGTTTCAAAACAGTGGTTCAATTAAAAATAATATGAAAAAAGAAAAATCTTGTTGAACTGTTGCGAATTTCATTTTTCTTGTGTAGTTATTTCTTTGGTGAAATGATACATCATAGAAGATGAAAACGAATGTTTTTTTTTCGAATTTATGAATAATAAGTTATTAGTTTAGATTTTTATGCGTCAAACTTGAATATATAAAGCTTATACTATTTTTTCAGATTAAAATCATCTTGTTCATTTTTTACGATTCTCTCTACTTTTTTTATTCATTTTCGAATGTGTTTGATTCGAACCGATCGATCAAATGGATCCAAAATGTTTATATCACCATTGCTTTAATTTTGCTAGTGAGTCAATACAATAATCTTCATATGAAACAGACATGAGCCTACTATCGGATCCCTGTGTTATATCTAGTACTCATACCTCATCTGTAGCAATCAAATTCTCTAATATGGCAATTGGATGAACCAATATTAAATTTAAATGTCTACAAGTGTAACATTCTAAAACTAAATGAACGCAATCGATTAATAACAACTGTTGTAGTTCAATTGAATCATTAGCAGTGTAATTCAAACCACTTTTTTGTTTTGTGAATACCATACCGAGAGTGACAAATTTTCATATGCAATGGATACCTTTAATTTATTATTAATAATATTGTGACATGTTTATATTTAAGTTAGATGAAATGCAGATAACTTAATTGAGTGAAATTTGATCTGACAGGAATGCTCTAATCTGTTGACTAAAAAAGTCGAAACAATTAATTAAAATGAGTGTGGAATATATTCTTTATGATGCTTCAAAAACTTGAAATTAATTTACATATATTCAAGGTCATTTTATTCGTCTCTTTGAATGTTAGAAGATGTAGATTTTAATTCTAAATCAATATTGAAAGCATAAAATTAAACAAAATTTATCATGATTGTGATAAATTAGTTGAATAATAATGATTATTATTTACATGATTGGCAATAGATAATTCATCTCTAGAAAAAAAGAAATCGTTTATTCTATAGTTTTTTCTTTTTAATTAGGTATTGTTTGTCTTCTTCAGAGCTAAAATTAATCTAAAATTCTCTTGTTAGGAATAATTAGGCTTCTCTATTCTGTTTTTTTTTTTTTAACAACTTGAAGTATTGTTTTATTAAATATTGTGGTAGTATCTATTTTAGATAACAAACAACAATTGCTTTTCGCCTAGATTTTTCATTCGCAAAAATAATTTCATTTAATTTTCAATATATATAAATTACGATGAAATTTTAGTAAGAGGAAGTAAAATGTTTGTATTTGTTGAATTTTCAAGCGCTTGTTTGCTTTCTGATAGATGTTTCATTTTCTGTTGTGTATTTGAAAAGCAAACATTGCATTTTAAATAATTTGTATT